ATTCAGTTGTAAAACATGCAACTGAAACTTAATATAGGACTTGTCACTAGCCAATAGAAAAGTAAATATTTCATATCATAAGTAGCTATTCATTTCCATTGATTGGTTGGCTGGTCAAAATTTTTAAAAATTATTTTCTGTCTCTCAGAGAAAGAGAGCTTGTAAGATGCTTCTATCATTTTCATCGCATTTGTGTGAGCAAATATTTTCACTTTATTCTTGCTTTGAATCAAAATACAGAATAAACAGTGCAGAACCAGATTTAAGACTATGGTATTAAATAATATATTGCAAAGCTTTGTTCAAATAAAAAAAAGTCCAAATTTTAAAAAGTCAAATAAAAGTCCAACAAAGTATTTTGACTATTGCATTATGTTAATTCTCTTCCAAGATCTAAATTATTTCATTAAAATTTTTTTTATATATAATACACACATATATTCAATGAAATTAGTAAAATAGATAAATGTAATTTGAAGTATTGTAGATAATAGTAAACATATGAGGTCTTGCTAAAATATTTCTTTTAATCATTACAGAATATCCCACATAAAATATTTGTAATTATTTTATAATTAGTTTTATAACTACATTTAGAGTTTTCATAATTATAGGTAGAATAAAATTTTATATTTTGCAATGATAACTACATAATGTAAATTTTAATTTGGAACTTTTGGGGGCAAAATTTATCATTGTAACTACAGGAAGCACATAAGGAATAAATCTAATAGAATATTACGAATAGTATGTTAAATTGCTCTGGGGTTTCGACCACATTTTTTTTTTGTTCAAAGGAACAAAAATGTTGGGAACTGCTGGACTAGATGATGAAGAAGTCAGGAATGATGAAGGAATCAGAAGAATGAATGGGTTAGATGACCTGTAAACTGCTTCTGCAGGAACAGCTTGGTGGTACAGCAGATAGAGCACTGGCCCTGGAGTCAGGAAGACCTGAGTTCAAATACAGCCTCAGACACTTACTAGCTGTGTGACCCTAGGCAAATCACTTAACCCTGATTGCCTCCAAAAACAAACAAACAACAAAAAATTACTTCTGCGTAAACTGACTTTTTAAGGTTTGCAATCAATACCACCACTTTTCCCAGAAGTGATATAATGCCAAGTATCCATTATGGTTCTTGCGCTCAAGCTGATGTCCACCTTACAGAATTGCAAACTGTAACCCAGAAGCATACCCATACAGGGGTCACTGAGGAATTCACAGCAACTACAGGTTTGAAGCGCTTCCCCCGAGTTCCAAAAGACCAGACCAGACCAGTAACACAGAAGAATTAGCTAGGGCAACTTCAGACTTGATTATTTTCTTATTTATTCCTAAGGCAGTGGGATGGCAGGGGCTGGAGAGGAGGAGGGGAAGGAAGGAGGGAGAAGGTCTTCTCACAATCTCTGCAGATGCCAAGAAGCTCTCCAGAAGAGTATTTCAGAATAACCTTACAGCCTTTTCCCACTGTTTCAGCATGGGCTCAGCAAATAGCTCTTCTTTTTTCTTTAAACAACTTCAAAGTTTGTTTTGAAATAAAGGTTTATTTTTCCCATGGAAGTCTGAAGGTTTTGCACTGTCTGCGTGAAGAAATGAGCCTGAGCTTTTCGGAATTTATTTGAACTTGGAGATAACTTGAACTTACATGCCTATGGCTACAACTTTGGAACTGACATTCAAAAGCTGTCAATTGGCTTTATCTCTGTTGTTTAGGAGACTGGTCTGGGCTGCTGAATGAGAAGATTTGGTCTGTTTGCTTTAGCTGTATCCCACTCTGCTTAAATATAAAAAACAAAACAAAACAAAAACAAACCCACAAAAGAATAAAACCTGGGTAAGATTTTTTAAGTTGTTTTAGTTTCCTGAATTCCTGTGGGTTCCTTTGGGCACCGTCATTTATTTCATGGTTCTGAGTCCTTTTTTTCAAATAAAAATCTTGTGCTTTAAGCAGCTGACTCAGTCAGGATCTGGGGTCTGGGTCAACAGCAAAACAGAGGCCCTGGGTTACATGGTAGGGCTGCCAGACATCTGGGTCCCAGCTGGGGTGGGGTGAGGGGCTGCTGAAAATCTTGGTGGAGGGGTGTGTGTGGACTAGGGATGCTGAACAATTAGGCCACCTGGCCTGGGTGCTGACAGGTTTCCTTTCCTCCTTCTCTCTCTTTCCCTATCTCTCTTTCTCCTTCCCCTCCCTCTACTTTCTCTCCATCCTGCACTATCTCCTTTCTCCATCTCCTTTAGCCTCCTTTTTCCTTTGCTTCCTTTCTCTCTCCTTTTCCCAACTCACATACTCCTTCCTTTTGTCTTCGTGGCCTTGGACTGAGCTTTTGGCTCTATCCTGCACCAGCTGATTGGGATTATGGTCACGACTTCTAGCAGGGGTAAAATGGGATTCCTTATACCAGAAGGGGAAAGATGAAAGGAAGATAACCAGAATAGCAAGGACTGAGGTACCTACTTTGTAAAGTTTGAGGCTTAGAAGGGGAGGATGCCATCTTCTCCAGGAATCTAGAATCCAGGTTTCTAAGTTAGCCTGAAGCCCAGAGACACAGCTGGCTTGATTTGTCAGCCAGAAAAGTCACCACTTTTTCTTGTGTCTGAGTCTTGGGGGAAGACCAATGTAAAAGGTTCTATGAGGAATTGGATCCTGAGTTTCATGCTGCAAGAGGCCAGTCAGGAAACAGGGTTAATCTTGACTTTTTGGACTGAATTTAAATTCTCCTTACTATACTTTCTAGCATTGAATCCTTGATTCTGGTAGGGGTGACTATCTGACAGTCATCACACACATATGGTACAATAAGGGGCAGCACCAGTCTAGGAATCAGGAGACCCAGGTGCCACTCGACTCTGGGATACTGGGAAAGTCCCTCCCCTTCTCTATGTATCAGCTTCCTTCTGTATAAAATGTATAGACTAGATGACCTCATAGATCTATTCAAGTGCTAATATTCTATGGCTTTTCTTGGCGTAATTCTAAATGCTTTCCCTTTTCCTCTTCTCAGTCAATGTTCATCAGTTCTTTCATGGTCCCTGTCCCCCAGTAAGATTTGCTAAATAGGCCCCCTCACTCTAGTCACTCTCTTGGGGTATCTGCCCTTAGTACTAACTAAATGCATATAATCACACTGTGCTGAATGCTTTATAATTACTATTTCATATGATCCTCCTAACAACCCTGGGAGGTAGGTGTTACTATTATCCCCATTTTATAGATGAGGACACTGAGGCAAATAGATAATAGGTGACTTGTCCAGTGCTAGTAAGTTTCTGAGGCCAAATGTGAATTCAAGTCTTCCTGATTCTAGGCCCAGGCTTTATCCACAGTTGTGTGTGTGTGTATTTGTATACATATATATATGTATACACACACACACACACACACACATAGATATATCTATATATTTTATTCTTCTGGCTAAAATTAAGGGTTCCTGAAAGCCAAGCAGTCTTGTTTTCCATTCTCTCTCTTCTACCTTGCTTCCCAGAGTGACTAGTACAATGCTGGGCAGTATTGGGCTTCCAATAATTAAAGGAGGAGAACAGAAGCAAAGGAAGGCAGGGGAGGGACCTGGCTGTAGTTGTGCTTATCTTCAGCCTCTCAGAAGAAACCTCAGTCTACTTCAGTCCAGCTTGGACTTGAAGTGTTGGAGGATTCTTCTAAATGATAAGGGATGGAATGATTGGCCTGAGTAAGAAGCTTCTTGATTGAGTGGCTACAATGCCTGACTGGGAGCCAGGAAGATCTGGCTTGGAATCTTGCCTCTGACACTTAGTGTGGCTACAGACAGCGGCCTTAGCCTCTGTTTCCTCCTCTTTAAAATGAAAGGGCTGGACTAGATGGTCTCCAAGTTTCCTTCTGATCTTAAATCCATGATCTATGAACCTTTCCTTATCCTCTGTATCCACTGCAAAACAGGAGATTCATGGGATCATACAGGATGTCATTGTAGGAGGGGACCTCAGAGATCACCTCAATCCTTCAGGATCACAGGATCCTACAAGTGGAAGAGGGCTCAAAGGCCAGCCAGTCCAGCCTCCTTGCTTTACAAATGAAGAAACTGAGGCCTAGCGAAGCTTAATGATTTGCCCTAGGTTAGCTGGGATTCAAACTAGGTCTTTGGGCTCCAAATCCAGTATTCTTTCCCCCCCAGCATCAGGTCTTTTCTCTACAGGGATTGTGTCAGGATCATAGAATTATACAGTGTCAATTATAATTATAATTATAATTACATAGTAATTACATAGTATCAAAGCTAGAAGAGACCTACCTCAGGGACTCATCTAGTCCAACTTCCTCATTTTACAGATGTGAACACAGAGGCCCACAGAAATAAAGTGATTTTTCTGAGATAAAACAAGTTACGATAGAAATAGAATGGGAATTGAGGACTATGGATTCAGGTCCAGAACTCTTTCTACTACTCCGCATTGGTCAGTGGTTTGGACCACCAGACGCAGGAAGTTCTGGGGAAACCTCTAAACACATGAGTACCATACAGCCTAAATTCAGGGGGAAGTGCTCAAGGGCAGAGTGGTATGGTGGGGAGAGTCTCAGCCCTATGGTCCAGATTGCTCTGCATACCTGTGACCCACCAGAGGGAAAGGGGACCTTGTAGGATCAGGTCCCTTCAAGTCCTTCCCTAGTGTCTGGAGAAAGAAATTCTGCAATCTCAAAAGAGCTGCACAGAAATTCTGGGGTGCCCCAAAAGCACCTAATGCCCACCAAGTGAATGTGTCTGTCCCCATCACGGGCATACAGACCTTCACATGTACACATGCAGGAACCCACGCACACACTCTCTCTTACTAACACACTCTCCCTCTCTCTCTCTCTCCCTCACACTCCCTCCCTTTCTGCCTCCCCCCTCTCTCCCTCGCTGCCCCTCTCCCTTTCTATCTCTCTCCCTCCCTCCCTCCTTCTCCCTTCCTTCCTTGCCCCCTCCCCCCATATGCTTGCACTTTTTTTCTTCCCTAGGAGAGAAACACTGTGACTCACCATAGTCCTTCTTGCAATACTTTTTCATGTTAATCTTCAGCTTCCCTTTGGAGGCCTTGCAGTAGGAATCACAGTCTGCAGGGGAGGAGAGAGCACAGACAAAAACTAATTAGCCTGGTGATGAATAGGCAGGCGGGGGCAGGGGCAGGGAGGCTCCAGCTCCCTGAATAAGCAGTGTGCCTGTGATATCCATCTGTCAGGCCCGATCGGGCCGCCCAATAGAGCTTGGGAGGCATTCAGAGCAGGCCTGGTTTTCTAAAGAGACCCTTTTGACAAAGGAGCCCCCGCCTGCTTGCCCGCCTGACACCTCCCACCTCCCTCCTGCTTCAAGAATCCTTTAGCTGCTGTCCGTGGGCTGCCTTGGCCTCCATGGGAGACCCGGGGGCCTCCATTATTGCGCCACCCAGGGCTTTTGAGAGCCACACAAATTCCCCCTGTTCTTAAGATGCAACTGGAGCCTGATTAAAGCCAATAGAGGCCTCATTGTCACCCCTCGCCCAGGTTCTGTGTCAGGCGCTGGCATTCATCGCACAGAGCCTCTGGCTGGGGTCAGGTCCCAACAAAAAGGGTCACTGAGGAAATTAGCAGCCCATGAAGCGTTAGAAAACCCTTTTAGTGTCCACTCTACTGGAGTGTGCAAATAAAATGCCCCACTAAGAACATTTCACTTCTAATGGGCCCTACTGCTGAGACACAGTGTTCCGAGCTAAGGTTCTGCTAGTACTCCCCAGCCTTCCGTCAGGGTCATCCCAGAGTAGAGAGCTCAAGCAGGGCAGAGGATGTACACAGTGCCCCACTAGGGAACCTGACCACAGGGCCTCAAATCAGCAGTGTTCTGAGGTAGTGACTTGTGCCTTCTGATGGCTTGCAGGTGGATCAAAAATCAGGATCTAAGCTAAGGGGTGATTCTGTGTCAGCAAATGCAAAAAAAAAAAAAAATACCAGAGGGTCAACGTAAATGGCCCATAAATTCTGCATCGTGTTATCAAATAAGGCTGTGAAATAATGATAATAATAATAATAATAATAATAACGATAACTGACATTCATATCATGCTTTAAGGTTCACAAAGTACTTTTACGTACAATATCTTATTTGGTTCTCACAACATCCCTGTGTGGCAAATATTGTAGGCAGTAATATCCCCACTTTATAGATGAGGAAACTGAGGCTCACAGAGATTAGGCCTGTTGTGTATGGTCACATAAACAATAAATTTTAAGGCAGTATTTGAACACATGTAGCCACGCTTCACATTTCTTCCCAGCCTTCAAGGGTCTGTACACTAACTGCAATCTACGTAAAGTAAGCAAGTTTCCAGGCAAGCCAGATGTGATGTAATAGATAAGACCCTTGAATAAACTTAGATTTCTTGTTCCACCTAAGGCTGCTTCTTTACCTTACTTCACCCTAACACCCTAAGCGGGACAACACAAGATTCCTGAATTGTGTCCTCTGCTGGTCCTGGGAAGTCCTCTCAGCAGCACTTGTGACAGCCTAAACCACACCATACAAATGTACAGTGCTTTATTACCTTCCTAACCACTTTCACCTATACAGTGCTTTAAGCTTTGCAATGTGCATTAAATATACTATCTCATTTGAGACTCACAACAACCTTGTGACTTCCCCATTTTGAAGATGAGGAAACTGAGGCTGGGAAAGACTTGCCCAGGGTCACATAGCTGGTAAGTGTGTAAAATGGGATTCTAACTCAGGTTTTCTTGACTCCAAGTCCAGCACTCTGCTAACTACACTACCTAGTTACCTATTATATCATTTGTCCCTCCTTATAAACTGAGAGATAGAGGGCATAGACGAAATTCCTAGAAAAAGATGTTTATACTTATTGCTGCCATTTTCTCATACCTCTCTCAGGTCCCAACTCTTGTAGTCCAACTTCCAACTCCTTTACCCAATCGCTCTCCATAAAGTTAATAGTGCTTTCCGAGTTACTAACTAAATCCAGTGTTCTTTGCTTATTCTTCATCCTTTTAGGTCTCTCTTCAGTAACACTGTTGACTCCCTTCCGGATGTTCTCTGCTCCCTAGGTTTTATCATACTATTCTTTCTTTGTTTCTCTCCTATCTGTCCTTCCTCAGGCTCCTTTAAGTCAACACCTCCTAACCCACTGAGCTCCCCAAAGCTCTGTCCTGGGTCCACTTCTCTTCTTTCTCTACACACTCTCTCATTGATCCCATTGAACTCCCAATGGCTCAACTATCCTCTTTATGCAGAGTACTCCCAAATCTATATAGTCAACCTTCATCCCAAGTACCAGTCCCACATGACCAACAATCTGATGTATACCTCCCCCTGGATGTCCCACAGGTGTCTCAAACTCAACATGTCCCAAACAAAACTCACCTTTCCATAAATACCAATCATTCCTCTTCACTTTCCCTGTCAAGAACTATGAACCGTGGTCACCCAGGTTCACAACTTAGGAGTCATCTTTGACTCTTTGCTTTCATTCATTCCTCATATCCAACCAGTTACCAAGCCTTATTGATTCCACCACCGGGGTGCATCTGTTCCCTTCTCTAGGGGCAGATTTTTTACCACCTTTCATGTCAATTACTATAATAGCCTTCTCATCATTCTCTCTGCTTCTAGTCTCTTCTCTCTCTCATCCTCCACAGACATACCAAACTGACATTCCTAAAGCAGGTCTGACCAAGTCATTTCCTTACTCGAGAAGATCCAGGGGTTCTCTATTGCCACTAGGATAAACCATAAAGCACTCTGATATGTAAAGCCTTCAAAATCTTGCTTCAACTATATTTTTTCTAGACTGATTTGATTCCCCATAACATCCTTTGATCCATTCAAACTGACCAATTTGGCGTCTTCTACACACGATTCTATCTCTTGGTTCTATGCCTTTGCTCAGGCTGTTCTTTCCACTTGGAATACTCTCCACCTTCACTTCCATCTCTTGGATGTTCTTTTCTAGGCTAAGCTCAAAGTGCCACCTCCTATACAAGCCCTTCTTTTTAGGGGCCTCTCCTAAGTCAATACTTGTATTTAGTTTGGATATTTTTGTATTTACTCATCTGTGTGCATGTTGTTTACCCCCCCTGGAACGTAAGCTCCTTGAGGGTAGGGACTGTTTTTATTTTTGTATCCCCAATGCCTAGTATAACATGGGCATATGGTAGGCATTAGATTAATGATTGTTGAATGAATGAACTAACTTCAAAAAACTTTACCAAGATATGTGTTTTGCGATGATTTTTTTTTTCATTTTTCTGACAAATCTACAACATAACCATTCTTTGGGGCAGCTAGGTGGCGCAGTGGATAGAGCACCGGCCCTGAAGTTAGGAGGACCTGAGCTCAAATCCGGCCTCAGACCAAACACTTGACACTTACTAGCTGTGTGACCTTGGGCAAGTCACTTAACCCCAACTGCCTAAGCAAAAACAAAACAAAACAAAACATAACCATTCTTTTTGAAAGCATTTGCTAATAAATGCTGCGGAAAGAACAGACTGCTTGATCACTTCTATATCCTCTAAAAATAAGCCCCTGAAACCTGGTACAACAGCTTAGACTCTGCAACCTCTTTTTTTAAGCTATTCAGAACTATTTTTTCTGAATGTTCTGAACATTGAGGTTACAGATAAATGATCTTCAGATAAATGAAGTGCTGCCATGTATATCTCGTTCTTTTGTAACACCTGAAATGATCCGAGCTTCAAATAAACAGTCTTTTTCAAAAAGGAACAGCACAGAACTCAACATTTTGCAGACTTTGTGATTCTTATATACCTCAGTTGCTAAATTCTGACCTCATCTTTCTGATGCCTAAGGCTCTAAGACTGCTCTGCCATTGATGAAGCAAACTCCATCTCAAAATGAAAAACAGTAACTTCAAGCACTCAGCAGATCAGAGCCAAAGGTCAAGGGCCAGCCTATTTATTTTATTTAGTCTGTTTCATCTGAAAGTCAAAAAACAGGCCTTGAGTTAGGATGACTGTGAAGAGTAGAAAGACAGTTCTTTAAGTTGAGAGGCAATATGGCACACCAGAGAGAACATTGGACTTGGAATCAAGATCTGTCTTAGACACTTACTAGTTGTGTGACCCTGAGCAAGTCAATTAACCTGTCTCAGCCTCAGTTTTCTCCTCTGTAAAATAGGGTTAATAATAATAGCACCTATATCATAGGGCTGTTGTGAGGATTAAGTGAGATAATAGATGTGAAATACTTTGCAAGCCTTAAGGCGCTATATAAATGTTTACTACTACTACTACTACTACTACTACTACTACTACTACTACAGTCTCAATATGCTATGGAATATCTGGTTAGATTTCATGATCAATCACTCATTAACTACTCCTACCCCTCACATACTTTCTGTGCCAGCTAAATCAACCAATTTGCTTTTCCCAGTACACACCTTTCTATCTCCTGTTTTTTTCGCCTTGCCCAGTTATCCTCACTATCTGGAATCTGTCCCTCCTTGGCTCTGCCTCTTGGGACCCCTAGTTTCCTCTTGCAGTTTAGGTGATAACTTCCTATATGAGGCCTGATGTCCGCAGTTATTTGTTCTCTTTCCTAGAAATAATTTCATGTGAATTCTGTCTGTAGGGAGGGGGATGAATGCAAGTACCTCTTCGTGGAGCCAAATCACGCATATCCAGCTCCACGGGAAGTGCTCCAATCCAACACCCTGCTACATGAATATATTTTGATACAGTTTTTGGTGTGCATTTTGTTCCCCCCATCCTATTTCCAATGAGATATATGCTCTTTGAGGTCAGGGGCTGTTTTATTTTTGTCTTTGTAGACCCAGCACCTAATAGAGTAGAGTGCCTGGTACATAGTGGATGCTCAATAAATACTTGTTGATTCTTGTTTCATCTTCCAAGGATTTACTCCTAACTTGGCTACCATCCCCTTCTCTCTCTTCTGCCCTCCACACTCATCTTCAGGGCCAGATTCCTAAATTGTATTTTGGACAAACGCTACCCTCTAAGAGTAGCTAAGAAACAAGCCTTGATAGCAATAGGCAATGGTGCTGACCCAGGGGTCACATCTGACAAGAGACTCATTGGCCCCTCTG